GAATATATGGTGTATCTCTAGTCTTCTTACGTTTTTAATCAATAATAGTAATAATATGGAAGGATAAATGATCAGTAACACATATTATTATAGAATGATTGATTTGTTACAAACGTATTATAAATAGAAACTATGCATATAATAATTTTAAACTTTATTCAAGAATAAGATATTGGGACTGTTACATGACACGAGCGTATAAAATTAAACAATGCAATAATGACAAACTTTTACAAGACCCTTTCTATTTAGGCTAGCTATGTATATATTTGAATTTCGAATTGTAATATATGAATGTAATCCAATTTACTCCAACAAATTAAACTTTTTTTTCCCAATAACCTTTATACTTCATTGTTTATTTATGCATAGTTGCACATTCCATAAGCACACGATCTCCCTTTTTTGCACTTCTTAAAGCAACCTCCACAGTGTCTTTTATCAAACATCGGGTTCACACAATATCCATTGCAACAAATCTCCGAGTACTGACAGCTTTTCCCACATCTTCCGCAATTTAATTTGTTGGTTCTCAAGTCCACGCACCTCTTACGACAACAATCACGACCTGAACTTCCTTTGAGACGACATACTTTGGGGCTTTTGTCACATGTCAGTAATGCACTTGGACGGTTCCCACCTTTTTTCCCTCGTGTAGCGGCTATCACCCGACCATATCTGTCTCCGTGCTTCGCCTCAACCCTTTGTGGTTCGCTTAGTGTTAGAGCAATGGCTAAGACCATTATAAGCACCACCATGAAATAAGATATCTTGAATGTATTCATTCTTCTTCTTTTGCCTTCTTCTAAGAAATCAAAGGAGAGAAATTGTATGGGAATGTTTTGTATTGGAATGTGTTTGTATGTATGTATGAATATTAGATGAAGAGTAACCAAGGACGTGGATGGTATTTATAGACCAGAGAATGATACATAGGTCAACGAAGAAGTTCTTAAAAGATTAGGTCGTGTAAGAAAAATATTTGACTTTCTTAGACTCTTTTAGTGGAGTGGTCAAATTCGAAGGGTTTAGATTTTTGATGCGTAAACGAGTTAGGCTCGCGAAGAAATTTTTTTCTAAATTAGGCAGAACAAGAACACATGAAATTTAATTTATAATTTGGCAATATATTGAGTTTTAGGCTTTTAGCTATTGTATTTTAGATATATCTCCAAATAGATCCAAATCTAATCGAATCTCCTGAACTGAATCCCAAAACCTAAGTTTAATTATTCTTCCAAAGTAGTAGCTAGCTAGCAATGTAGATTTGCCAAAAACAAGCTATGAAATATCTGAGGTCCTTTTTTTTTTACACCGAGATATCCGACTTAAATATCTAGACAGAAAGTATAGTAATAATGTTTCTTGAGAAAAGTTATTCCAACTAGCACTGTAACGTCTCAATCGCGTGTCTAGTGAATTTTATCCTTTTTT